TTTTTATTAGGGCTGCTAATTTGGAAAAAGCTGACAAGATCACACACTTTGTAAATGGAACTGTGTGGGAGCAAATCAAAGCAAGGTATGTTCAAGATGAGGAAAACTATATTTTACCAATCTGGCTTTATGCTGATGAATTTGAGGTCAATGACCCATTAAGCTCCCACAACAATATAGATTCCGTATGTGGAATCTATTACAGTTTTCCGACCCTTCCTGATGCGTTTAGATCGAAGCTTTGTAACATTCTGGTTGCAGGATTTATCAGAAAAGTTACCATAACACAATCAGGCGTGAACAAACAAGTAGAGAAAGCATTAGAACCGTTCAAAAAACTGCAAAATGAGGGAATATTTTTCAACCTGAATTCGCATCTGATTAAAGTCCGTTTCATACTATGCTTATTTCAAGGAGATAACCTTGGAGTTCACACACTGTTACAAATGTCAACCGGGTTTAACGCAAATTATTACTGTCGTTTCTGTCGCAGGCATAGAACAGATTTACAAAAAGATACCATGGAGTGTGAAGAATGTTTGCGAAACACCATAAATTATGAACAGGATGTAGAGATTGGTAAACACTCGGAGACAAGAATTGCTGGATATTCTGCGTTTAATCAGCTAGCATCTTTTCACGTAATCAATAATCCTAGCGTAGATGCGATGCATGATCTGTATAGTAATGGAGTATGCAAATACGGTTTACTTTCAGCCCTCCATTATTTTGTGTACGAAAAAAGATTTTTTAGTAGGACGACTTTAAACACAAGACTAAATTTCATTAGTAGAACATCAGCTGATGTGAGCTTAAGTCGAATGCCAGATTTCGAAGAAGTATATACAAAAAAGACTAAGGGTAAAAATATAACTGGTAGAATGACGGCATCAGAAATGAAAGCATTCTGTAAGAATTTTACATTCATTGTTGGCCCGTATGTTCCACACGACGATCCTTTGTGGACGTTTTGTAAAGTTTTGATCAAGACTGTAGATTTAATTCTTCATAACACATTTACAGAATATGATTTAAAAGAATTGAAAAACTTGATACAATCTCATCATTATTTGTATCAGATGCTCTTTGAAGACACTCTTAAACCCAAGCAACATTTTCTCGTTCATTACCCAAACATAATAAAAAAAAGTTGACCGGTTGAGCGAATGATGTGCTTCAGAAGCGAAGCTAAGCATCAGGTCTTTAAAGAATATGCGCATGTCACTTCATCACGATTGAACATTGCATATACTTTATGTATTAAATCTTGCTTGCAATTTAGTCACGGATTTGGAAGTTGAAGGTGAATTTAATGTTAACACCCTACAATCGAGACCATACTGTTCGAAAATCGCGAACGAATGCCCTTTCAATGTGAAAGAAAAAGTTTTTTTTGCACATTCGATCCAATTCAAAGGTTCACAATTTAAAATAGGTCAATTTATAACAATATCGGAAAACGCATCGATCAAATTGTTAGAAATAGAAGAGTTTGTGAAACATAGAGAAACAATATATGCAATGTGCAGAAATTGGGAAAAAGGAGCATATGATGATCATTTATTAGCTTATGAAGCAGTAGAAAAATGTGATTCAATGTGTATTATTAGTATTAATGCAGTGATTGGATCTCCATTTTCTATTCATGAAGTGAAAAACCATTATTATTTCAGGATTAATAATGATTTTAACTAGATGTAGAGAATATTATTAAGTTTAGTATTATAAATAAACCAATGTTGTTAATTAATTATATTTCAATAAAAGAACATTTAAGCCGTAGCAAATGATTGAATATTTTACAGCAAGAAAACATAAGTTGATCGAGCTTTGTCCATCCTTAAAATAAGTGACGGTTGGATAAATTTCGAGCAACATATAAGCTTCTGATATTTAAATTTCTATTAAAAAATAATTCATATAACATACTTATGAATATTATAGCAAGTTAATAATGATATTCATAACTACGCATTATGATTTTCACAAGTAAATACGAATGTTATTCATTACACATGAATATGATTTTCATAAGACAACTTATGAAAATCTTAAGTGGTATGATGAACAAATTCCCATCCGAAGTCATAAGATAAACTTATGATTTTCATAACAGATCCTTTTGTCGTAAAGTCATTAGTCATTCTTATGGAATTCTTAAGTACTTTTGCCTCAGTGCATAATTATATATACACAGACAAACAGACGTAACTCTTTGAAAAAGTTTTTATTGATAACATAGTATATCAAAACGTAGGACCTCAGTAACGACATCTCTCGGGCTTCTCGCGGAAAACAAGCTTGCTCGCTAACTCACAAACAACATTGCATAAAAGTTCTATAGAATGTATAGGAACTTCAAAGCGATCTGATGCTAGCGCTGCGGCGAGTAGTTCGCGGAACTGATAATATTCAAATCTACTGTTAAATGCGTGAACGAAGATACACAATGAAGAGTTACGTCTGTTTGTCTGTGATATATATATATACATCGGAGAAGCAGTTCGAGAGCAATGGTATGCAGCAGTTGGAAGCCGTAGAAGGGTAGAAGTACCAAGATGTTTTTTCAGTGGAGCCAGTGATGCAGCGTATTCATGTGTCGCCTATCTTCGCATAGTAGATATGGGTACTCCGTTGCTGCAAAAACGAAAGTCGCACCATTGAAGCCACTTTCAATACCTCGATTAGATCTGCAGCAGCGATGATAATCATACGGCTGGTCCACAACATAAATGTACACCTTTAAGCCTTCCTATCAAACAGCGTTTCCTGTGGGTGGATTCTGCAACAATTTTAGCCTGGTTGAGATCCGATGGTCATCGCTACCATCCCTTCGTTGCATTCGGAAATAAAGCAAAAAAAAAGGAGAGATTTTCAGCTTGATCCCCAGAATGCCATTTCCCAGAATGCTATTCCCCAGAATGCACCATTTCCCAGAGAAAAAATCCCCAGAATGAACCATTACCCAGAAAAAAATCCCCAGAATGTACCATTCCCCAGAAAAGCATTCCCCAGAATGTACCATTCCCCAGAAAAGATGATGAAATTAGTAATTTTCACTTTTCTTTTTTTCTACTATTGATAATACACTATCACAGACAAACAGACATAACACTCGCAATTTCTTCATCGAACAAGCATTTAACGGTAAATTTAAAAGTATCGTAGTTGGTAGTACCGCCGCCTGTGGCGCGCATAGTCAGTTCCCTTGCGTTTGACTTTTACACACTAACGCCATCTATTCAGCGTACTACCCACCACAGTGTACTCAACAGATGGCGGTAATGTTTTAGCGACTATGTTTTACAGTGAGAAATATTCAATGTGTTGTGTCTGTTTGTCTGTGACACTATGTTTACTTTTATGGAACTATGTATTTATCAATTCCAAACCATTTTTTAGCTCTTTATAAAATGACAACCTTCAAGTTTTCGTGCACTTCGTTCATCATTTAATAAGTCAAAGGGTCTATTATGCAATCCAATTCAACCAGCCGGAAACTGTTAAACCTTATCGAAGAATTGTTCGACTTGAGTTGAAGAATTTCTCGCGATGGATTATAAAATCGGTGCAACTACCGGTTGAACTAATTTATAAAATTATTCCACTCATTATTATCCCAAATAGTCATTACCCCGAATCTCTTGCGAAAAGCTAATAAGCCGTATGAATAAAAAGAGTATGTATACTTTACTTTCCCATGCTTTTCTTACGGGGAAAGTAAAGTAAACGCTTTTATTCATACGACCTATTGATTATATATTTTCCTTATATATTAAAAGAAGGGAATATTCCTTTCTTTATCGTTTATCCAAAGAATTAATTATTTCCTTTTCTTATATTTTCAAAGAAGGGGATATTCCCTTCTTTATCATATATTTGACGAATTAATGATGTTCTCTTCTATATATTCAAAGAAGGGAATATTCCCTTCTTTATCGTATATCCAAATAATTAATTCCTTCTTTTTGTTATATTTTAAAAGAAGGGAATATTCCCTTCTTTTTCATATTATTTACATATTTAAAGTAGGGAGTATTCCATCCTTTATCGTATATCCAAAGAATTAATGATTTCCTTTTCTTAAATTTTCAAAGAACAGAATATTTCCTTCTTTATCATATATTTAACGAATTAATGATGTTCTCTTCTATATATTCAAAGAAGGGAATATTCCCTTCTTTATCGTATATCCAAATAATTAATTCCTTCTTTTTGTTATATTTTAAAAGAAGGGAATATTCCCTTCTTTTTCATATTATTTACATATTTAAAGTAGGGAATATTCCTTTCTTTATCGTTTATCCAAAGAATTAATTATTTCCTTTTCTTATATTTTCAAAGAAGGGGATATTCCCTTCTTTATCATATATTTGACGAATTAATGATGTTCTCTTCTATATATTCAAAGAAGGGAATATTCCCTTCTTTATCGTATATCCAAATAATAAATTCCTTCTTTTTGTTATATTTTAAAAGAAGGGAATATTCCCTTCTTTTTCATTTTATTTACATATTTAAAGTAGGGAGTATTTCATCCTTCATCGTATATCCAAAGAATTAATGATTTCCTTTTCTTAAATTTTCAAAGAACAGAATATTCCCTTCTTTATCATATATTTAACGAATTAATCATGTTCTCTTTCATATATTAAAAGAAGGGAATATTCCCATCTTCATCGTTTATCCAAAGAATTAATTATTTCCTTTTCTTATATTTTCAAAGAAAGGAAAACGCCTTGATCCATTAAGAAGTTTTTCTATTCTTTTTATATACGCGAAAGAAGATTCCAGGAGTGACTATAATAAACAAAAATAGTCAATCTAATACATGGCATGCTTTTCTTGGGAATAGTCCGTTCTGGGGAATGGTACATTCTGGGGAATGTCATACAATCACTAAAACAACTAAGCTCAAGCCTGTCATGATTTATTATTATTAAAATCAGTAGATGAAAATTTTATTGTACCCACGAGGATCAAGAAATTGAAGATTACCATATCAGTTCAGTATTGTTGTCACCATTCTAACCGCTCATTCGTCTCACGCTCCCACGTCAATCTTGCCGAACACATCAATTATGTTATCAAAGTTGTTGAAGTTTGGTCGCCGTGGCGCTGGTTCCGGTGGCAAGTACGGTTCGAACGGCACGTTGCACTTGGTAATCGGGCGCAAAAAGTCGCCCAGTTCCGGTTCCGGGTCGCGCTTTTCCTTCGCAATGTATCGACTGCTGAGAGGTTTCCGGCCGGTAGGAATCAGCACCGAATCGTTCACATTCACCGGGACCAATCCTTTGAAGACATTCTCGTCGTGTTGAAAGTTAAGTTTTTTGCTAATCTGGAAAGGTGTTAGATGCACAGTTTCGGTTATTTGTTGTGTTCTCTCAAAATTAATCATCGGATACCACTTTACCTGATCGCGGACAAACTTTTTGCTCTTAGGAGTAAGTTCACCTATGCTCGTCGGAGCTTTCGTGTGCGTGGACTTGACCTTTTCTATCTCCTTCCGGACATTCAAAGCACTGTGTAGTTCTGGTTGTTTGAATTTGTTCGAATCAGTGGCTTTGCCGGTGGAAATTCTGTTCTGTGTTGGAGCCCTGGAGGTCGCTGCTGCGGTAGTGATTTGTGTTGGTTTAAGAACTTTTGCCTTACTTCTAGCCAGAGGGATTTCAACGTTGCGGAGAAAGCACTTCCGGTAATTAGATTTGGAAAGTTTGCTCATTATTATTGTTAAACAACTTGAAAACCGTTATTTTTTGAAGCTGATGGAATAAAGTTCGGTGCAAAATTGCGCTAGGATTTTTCTAATTTGTTACAAAACAAACAGTCAAAATGTGACAGAGATGTTATGCGGTTTATATACAATGACATTTATATAAGGTCTGGGCCAACAGGCAGCTTGCTGGTGTTAGAAGCAAAAATGTTGTAAACATTGCTGAACATCTGCGAACAGATAGATATACGTCACTGCCAACATACTGAGAACAGATAGATATACGTCACTGCCAACCAATGACGTTTATATAAGGGCTTATTGGTGTTAGTGAAATGTGCAAATGGTTAGTGGTGTTCGTATTATATTGCAATGTTTATCTTTTTACACGAAACAGCTGTTGGCAGTGACGTATATCTATCTGTTCTCAGTATGTTGGCAGTGACGTATATCTATCTGTTCGCAGATGTTCAGCAATGTTTACAACATTTTTACTTCTAACACCAGCAAGCTGCCTGTTGGCCCAGACCTTATATAAATGTCATTGACTGCCAACAGCTGTTTCGTGTAAAAAGATAAACATTGCAATATAATACGAACACCACTAACCATTTGCACATTTCACTAACACCAATAAGCCCTTTGGCCCAGACCTTATATAAACGTCATTGTAACAAACTTGCACTTGAAAATGGGATTACGCAAGTGTGTGTGTTATAAACGTCAGAATGGTCAACAGGGGTGAACATATTTTGTTGTTTAGAATCGAGGGGAACGACACTCATCCGTTCAACTTCGTAAAAAATTATGGAAATGTACTGCGCATTCCTCACCAAACTGGACAAATCTAGATCAACATTTGAAAAGGGTGGAATTCCAAAATCACCATATCGAGAAAACACCATAAACACCAGTTTTAGTTACAACCAATGTGAATTAAATTTTATCCAACTTTTTTTTTGCATTATTGGGGCAGTCCACCCGCATAAACGCGAACCATAAATTGACCTTACCTAAAATGGTTAAAAATTGTTTATAATCCCTGCTAAACTTTAACTGAAATGGTTATGGAACTTTACATGAACGTTTAATGATAAAGTTTCAACCTTATGTATTATGGTTTTTTGGAACTGGACCTTACAAATAATGGGTTGTTAAGAACCATTACCATTCCAAATTCTTGTTTTCTCCATACATTTTCAGAAAGAGAACTATATAAGAACGTTTTTACTTATGATTTGAGAACATTAATGGTAATGGTTATGGTAGTCAGTAAGGTCCATTAATGGGTTTGTATTATCGCTCAACTTTACGTGGAATATATCGTGAATTGGTAATCAGTAAATTACAGGCAACCAATTCGCGATATATTCCACATAAAGTTGATCGATGTTACAAAACCATTCGTGGACCTTACTGACTACCATAACCATTACCATTAAAGTTCTCGAACCATAATTTAAAAGGTTCTAATATAGTTCTCTTTCCGAAAATGTATGGAGAAAACAAGAATTTGGAACGGTAATGGTTCTTAACAACCCATTATTTGTAAGGTCCAGTTCCAAAAAACCATAATACATAAGGTTGAAACTTTATCATTAAACGTTCATGTAAAGTTCCATAACCATTTCAGTTAAAGTTTAGCAGGGATTATAAACAATTTTTAACCATTTTAGGTAAGGTCAATTTATGGTTCGCGTTTATGCGGGCAGTTGAAGTAAGTGTGATAGCTAACTCAAAAATTAACGTTAAATCGTGTCTTCGGCGCACTTTTTCCTTGATCCATAAGGAATATTAAGTGGGCAGAATACACCAAGACGGTACCACGTAAAAGCGTGCTTTTATTAGCGATTTTTGAGGATGTCCAGTCAGAAATGCAAACTACAAAACATTATTTTTTTTATCAAACTGTGCCAAGACTAGTCACCCTATGGCTTCTAAACAAAAGTGAGGCAAATTCTAGCCAACGACAGTAAAAAAGAGTAAACAAATTTTGTTTAATAAATTAATTTTGACACATCGCACACCCTCCACCAACAGCTGTGCAGTGTGTCGACTGTGTGTATCGCTCGGCTCTTCGTATCTGTTTGTATTAACCGGGCAGTTCCATTTTTTTTCATCATCGTTATCAGTGCGATAAAAAAGAAAATTTTGCTATCTTGTCGTAATTTGCAATCGAATAACACTGTTCGGAGCTAGTAACAATCGTAAACCTTGTCCAGGATTACAGGGTTGATAGTGAATTTCTACGTTTTCTCTGTGCGAATAACAAGTGAAAATTATGTAAGGAATGTTTGGATAAGCAATTTTCACCAAGCAGAGCGTGAAAAACAAACAGTTACTAAGCTTTTTAAGAGCTCATCTGCGCCAAGGCCAGTCGGGCTGAAGAGGTGCGAAACAACAAAGAAAATGCGTTTTACAACTGCAGCGATTGCACTGATCGCATTCATCGTGATATTCTCGATATTCGTGGCAAATGTGGCCAACTTGGTTGGGATCGATAGCAAACTGAACAAGCGGCTGAATGCGGCTTACAGTAAAGGAGAGGAGCGGTGGAACATCGAAAAGCAATTAAAGCTCGACGACAGTCCACGACATGTGATGTGGTTCTTGCAGGTGAGAGCCCGGGTGAGGGAGTTTGTGGAAAAGCTACAAGTAGTCATAATTTGATTTCGTTTCAGATTTCCGACATACACATTAGTTTGTACTTGGATCCAACTCGTGTGTCCCATTTGATCGATTTTTGCAACCGTACGGTGGACATCATTCGACCCTCCGTTGTGCTAGCTTCAGGGGATCTAACGGATGCGAAAACAGCCAACTTCCTAGGGTCCAAACAGCACGAGCAGGAATGGCGTTGGTATCGGGATGTGTTGCGAGATACAAACGTGCTGAATAAAACTAGCTGGCTTGATATCCGAGGTAATCACGATAATTTCAACGTTCCCGCTTTGCAAACCAAACAGGATCTATTCACGAACTATTCTGCTCAAGGAAAGAAACACGCTCGATCCTATATGCATCAGGTGACGAAGGATGGCGAACGGTATAGCTTTATTGCGGTAGATGCCTGTTTGGACCCGGGCCCGAAGAGACCATTCAATTTCGTTGGAATGCTGTCCATGAACGAAACGCAACATATTATGAATTTGGCCGAGAAATCCCGTGCGATGGAAACGAACTATACGGTTTGGTTCGGTCACTATCCAACGTCGTGTATTTTGACGCCCGGGTTGGGAACGAGCGGAATCCGCAATCTGATTGGCAAGTATCAGGAAGGATATGCGTACCTATGTGGACACTTTCATAAGCTGGGCGGAGCAGTTCCTCAAATGTATACGATGCAGAACGAGGGTTTCCTAGAACTGGAACTGGGTGACTGGATGAAAAATCGAATGTACCGATTGGCTGCGTTCGACCATGGCCAGTTTTCATTCACAGACCTGCAGCACAACCAGTGGCCTGTAGTGTTGATAACAAATCCAAAGAATGTCCTTTTCAACATACCGGGAAAGGAGGATCCTCGCATCCAGTTTGAGTCAAGTCACATTCGAATGTTGGTATTTTCGCCGGCAAAAATTACCGAGTGCCAGGTTAAGGTGGATCAAGGCGAATGGATCGATTGTACTAAGGTTAGCCGAGAGCTGTTCGTTGTGCCATGGACGCCGGAAAGGTATGCTCGAGGATTGCATAAGATATCGGTATTCATACGTGATGAGGATGGCCGATATCGGGTGGTGGAGCAGGAATTCACCTTGGATGGATCGAGGCGGAAATTCAGTACCCTGGCACGGTTTGTGCTCATGTACGACACGAACAAAATATTCCAAGCTTTCTTTAGTCTCGCGTTGATCATCTGCCTGCTGCCGCTGTGTGTTTTCCGGATATGGCATATGCTCGTTAGAAGTGAGTATTTTTCAAATCAAGTTTCCCATGAGAAGCAGTCTATCGTGCGTTATTTTGTTTTCCAGATGGTACCGTCGCTCGACCCCGCATTCGAAGGTACTGCTTTCGAGGTTTGATCCGAAAGATGTGGATTCTTTCGACGGTCGATCGTTTGGTATTTCCATTAATCGCCTACTGTCTCTTTGTGACCTGTGGACCATGGTCGTTCGGCGAAGTTATCGATGGGCACGTCGGAATAGTTTTCGTGTGGGGCATTTTCGTCAACGGTACTTTTCTTCCGGGAACGCTAACATACTTCTACGGATTCTTCCAGCTGTTGTTCTGCCAATTTCCGCTGATCGTCATCTATGCAAGCAATGCTCACAAAAGGTCTTCCCATCAATTATTAAATTTGAACAAGTTCAAATCTAACGCCGATTCTTCTTTATTCCACAGATTGTACAGCGGCCCGGCGAGTGCGGAAAAGAAGCTTAGCTTTCTGGCTGCCACCTGGCACAATCTTCCCTTCCTGTTGATTATGCTGGTCGAACTGCTGCTGGCTCTCATCTTCTGGAATGCCTACGGTACGTTGGCATTTATCATCACGCCTCTTCGCACCTGGTCCATCGTGCTGAATCTGATCCTGTGGTACCAGTCGAAAAATCTACCCGAAAAGTGTCTTCGTTCGGCGGCGGCCCTCTGGTCTACATCGCCCGAATCTAAAACTACCCAGCTTTCCCAATAAGCCTTTCGGCTTTGCCTGTGTGTTTGTGTGTGTGTGTGTGTGTGTTTGTACATTAGAATGGAACAAATTTTCAGGAATTGAGTGTCATAGGTACCTATCTGCGGCAGTAGCTTTCGTAGAGCCAAACTGAAACAGTAGAATTTGATGCCTGTCTGTAGCTGACTTATTGCTTTAACTACTTATTTACTTTAAGCTATTATTATTCGTATGGTTTCGAAGTAAAAAGACCACTGACTGAACTGCGTAGAAATATTTTATTTTGCTAGGAAAAAAATTCACTTTCATTGCAGGTATTCGTATATTGTTTAATAGCACTAAAGATTATTTAATCATTTAAGTAAGAATATTTAATTCATTTGTTTATTACTCAAGAAACATTTCAAGTTTTACTGAGGATTTAAAGCATTCTACAAGTCTAAATTATTGCTTACAGAACCCTCATAAAATCCAAATTGTTACTTGGGTAATGTTTATTTATAAATAATACATTTGTATTTACACACATTTCTACAATATGACTAGCGTTTTGTACTACTTGTATTAGAGCGATTGTTTATGAAACACCACCGACAATTAGGAGCGGACTTTAGCTCCAACCATCAGATGATATTCTTTTAAGATTATAGTATTGACTGTTATAAGCAAACATATATGTGTATTAATGTGATAATAAAGATTACAGATTGATAGAACGGTTATTGCTAATTTTAAATTATTCCATTAAGATTTTCCTCAATGACAGATAGGGAATAACTAGAACACTGCTGTTACCATCTCTATGACTTTTAAGGCTCTTGGAGACGGTAGCTGAATGGAGGTGTTATTGTAAACATCAAACTTAACCGATTATGTGATTCGAGTCGAGCGTCACATATCAGAGTGACGACTAACTGGAAAAACCTAGAAAATCACGGAATTCATTTTTGGACCTGGAAAATCAGGGAATTTTTCTTAACCATAAAATATTAATTAAAAGTATGACTGAGCTCGCTAGTTTCATATACAAGAGTTAAGTTCCGTGACTTTTTTGCTACAATCCCCACTTTATCCGCTGTAGATTGAGAATTGTTAGGAATTTCAAATGTTAAATTTGAAATAGAGTTGCGAACTTGTGGTTGCTAAACTGAGCAGAAATTACTTTTATGATAAAAAAAAAAAAAAAAAACAACTGGGTTTTGACACATCACTGAATTGAACTCTGAATGGCGGGTTGGTATAAAGCAGTAGTTCCCAACATTTTCAGCTCCTCGGCCCCCTTTGTGAACAATTGGGTGTTCCGCGGCCCCGTGGAAAGTACCTTGTATAAATTACGCTGAGATGAATAAAAACCATTAATTTGATCAACTAGCATATCAACAAACAACAGCCAATCTAGTGTGGATCTCAAATCTAGTTACGATGCAGTGAGTAAAAATGAGCAATCATTTCTGATTAAAGATCATAGTTTAGCTCGTTCGCTCTTTTGTCAGTCGTACTTCAGAGTCTATGGAACATGGCAACATTTCCAATACTAACCTTTCGGGATTTGAGTGCTTGAAGATCGTCTTGGAAGTGAATTAGATGGGTTTGCTAGCCCTCTGAGATGAATAAAGTATTAAAAAAAAAAAAAAAGTTTCCAGGCCCAGTAGTTTCAAATCCAGCGAATTTTGATACCCAACAAATTATTGAACAAACGAACACTAAAATTAGCAATGAAATCATTTTTCCCTTGAACTTCCAAGAACATTTTGATTTCGTCCTTCATTGCCATTTGAACAAGCAGCGCACAACAGTGTAGAAAAGAAGAACTATGTGATCTGAATTAATTTGCTTGTAGAGTTCTTTGAATAAACGAGTGTTCAGTGCTCCAGATTTGATATAGTTAACAATTTTGATGACAGAATCAAGTATTTTTAACATTAGTTCCGGCAGAGTCTTGCTCTTGCTGACAAGGGCATACGGTGCGACTTAGCAACATTTTACTCAGGTGCTTTTTTATTGTAAATTTTTAGAGATGAACTAGCCTAAGGCTAAAAATCTCTTTAATAAAGAATTAAAAAAAAAATATATATTGTAAATTTGGTGTACTTTCATTAATTAAAGTCTAAACAGTGATTGGACCAAGTTTTGGATATTTTTGAAAAAACTTGATTTTTTTAAAAATCATAATTTATTTGTCCATCATTTCTTCATCTTGACTTAAAGTGCAATAGATGTCATTTTTCGTCCCCTAAAACATATCAACTAATAAAAAAATACATAAATTAATTTTTTGAGAAAAATTGTTTTAAAGATTTTATTTGAAATTAAAAAAAAGTTGGTTAATTTTTTTAGCGTGTTTTTTTTTTTTATTTCAAATAGTCTTATTTAGAGTCGGTGTATAATGAGTCACGCCAAGAGTGAAGCCAAGTCTACCTATTTAACTGTCAAATCGGCTACCTATCGTGCAAAGTAAATAAACATTACGATGCTATGAAAGGTCTACGAAAAGTATTGCAATGAAATATAAAATAAAATTAAAGAAATCATCATAAACACGCAGCGAGCATTAAATGGTCATGGGATACGTTTGGTTTTGATCAGTAATGAGAATTTCTTCTATTTTTTGATAAGATAATTTGACAAAATCACTGATATTATGATTCACTACAGCCGTTATTTTTGGTTCTCGCTAGAAGTCATTTAAAGTTGATGTAGAAGTCCTCTGTTGCCAAGTGAAAAGAAAGGGAATCCTTCGGAAGCCGTGATGCGAGTTCAACTGTTTTTCTCTTGGCGTGACTCATTATACACCGACTCTAGTCTTATTTATTATCTGCAATATTGCTGAAGACACCAAACCGATCGGGAAAACAGTTTTCGAGTAAAACTTTACTGAATATTGTGACTCATAGAAAGCAAAATTTACAGGTTTTATGTTTCAAACGCATACTTTGTAGCCTCGTCTTGTAAGTTACAATTAAAACATGTCATTATACCATCTTTTGGTTTTATTATTCCGAAAAACATTATTTTAGCTGTTGATTATAGAGTTTGAACATGCAACAATCACAAAAGCCCGGGACGGGACTTGACAATCGAGCTTCTCCTTCTTCTTAGTGTTTTTGAAGAATGCCCTTCGGAAATTTGTGCGTGGTGTTTCACGGAGTTGACCAATGATGCCAGGAATGAAAAAAATATTTTTTTCTATTTTAATTTAGCAGCTTGTACATCATTTTTGCTAAATATAATAAAAACAACCATAAACAAACAACAATATCCATCGCTTAAAGCACACAGTGCACTCAATTTTACAACTTTCCGTTGGCAAATATAAACAATTAACAACACCATTGACGTCAACATTGATTCCGGCATCACTGCCAGCCAGATTAATGCAATCCATATGTCCTTCCACGATTGCTACTGCCAAATCGACCAATCAGAAACTGGCTCGGATTGGACAGCAAATTTGCTCGAAATTGCTACCCAATTGTCAAGTCCCGTCCCAGACAAACGCAGGTGCTCAAGAAAGTGACAGTTCACATCACAAAACACATTAACATCAGCATGATGCTAGATAATAATTCTACCACATCCGAGATTATCGATGAATAGTGTATGAAATCGGATAATATCGACAGGTGCTTGTTATTATTCATTACGACTCGAATTTATCTTAGAATATCGAAATTTTGAAGCAAATTTTATTGAAATCCGTTACATGAAATGTAAATCGGATTACTTTCATCCCCCTTGCGAGCCCCTCATTTTATCTGTCAAACTTTCATAGCGAATCAAAACAAACATAGTGTAGTACTAGAATTTCGACTAGAATGGGGTACGTTATTCGATTTGCTTGGGACCAATAGGCTAGTAAAGTAGTGAGCCAATTTAAAATCGTTAGTTTCCACCAGTCTTCAAGGTTCAGCATAGCACTGATGTGCAAGCAGGCTTCTGCACTTACCTGAGCATTCATTCTATGTTTACGCATGCACTCAGACAAATGAACTTGCACCCCAGCATGAGTGCAACCCAAGTAACAATTTCCAGTTGAAGAAACGCTTTCGTTTTGATTTTGTTCAGCTGCATGTTGAATAATAATTGCACAATGTGTTCACCACAACTTTTATAAAACCCTTGTTTACACTCGTTTGGAGAACCTATACAACTGCAACACAAAGGTGTTGTCTAACGTATTCAGTAAAACGTTTGCCTAAAATCAATTTCTTGTTGAAGAAACGCTTCCATTGTGATTTTATTCAACTGCATGCTGAATAATAACTGTACAATTTGTTTATTACAACTTCTGTAAAACTCTTGTTTACACTGGTTTGGAGAACCTGTTCAACTACAGCATTATATGTCTACGCGGTATAGGAGTAGACGCAACTTTTATACAACGTTTATAGATACATATTTAAACTCAAGCTTTATTATTTTGGTGAAAGCTCTTATACAACGTTTGTAGACACTTCTTGACAGCTGCTTTGAAATTTAGTAGAGAGTAAACCTGAGAGGCGTTTGTTGCACTCTTTTATGACTCCTAAATATTAATTGAACAGCAAGCGGTGAAAAGCGTTTACAGCACTTTTCAATGACTCCTTAACAACCGGATAGAAGCAACTTTTATGCAACGTTTATAGATACATATTTAAACTCAAGCTTTATTATTTTGGTGAAAGCTCTTATACAACGTTTGTAGACACTTCTTGACAGCTGCTTTGAAATTTAGTAGAGAGTGAACCTAAGAGGCGTTTGTTGCACTCTTTTATGACTTCTAAATAATCATTGTACAGCAAGCAGTGAAAAGCGTTTATAGCACATTTTAATGACTCCTGAATAACCGTTGTGTAAGTACTCACAATATTCACAGATTAAAATTAATTTAACAATTGTTGTGGTACGCCACAATAATTGCTTGTACAGTTTTTATTAATTTAATTTATTTGTGCACATTGACAAAATATGTAATTATGCCATAATTCACATTCTGTGATCATGGAGGAAGTAGTAGTAACTAGCATCGGTTTAATCTTTGATTGATATTCTTTCAATTAATCTCCCTGATAATTAATTGAGAGAATTTATCTAGAAATGTTATCGTTGATTATATGATATATGTCTTAAATTAATGTTTGCTCGAAGCAAGATTCGAACTCATGATCCCGGATTGCCAGCCGCTTCTGTTTCCATCTGCTCTATTCTTGAATACATATTTTGATCATATGAGAGAAGTATATGAAGCTCATCTTGAGTGACTTCTCTTGCAGTCGAATAATCATTGCCTTATGGTCATATAAACGTGCCTATCACTTGTGCTATTTTTAGCAACAAAATTGTGGTTGGTGGTTGGTCGAACGTAAACAATCATTTAAGAGTGCTCCAAGCAGCTTTTGAAGCTTTTAACCAAATGGCAATACAACTACATTCTTGTTCAACTCTGGAAGCTATTATTCAACGTTTGATCAACTCAGGTGTTCTATAAGAGTTCCCAATGGTTTGTTTTGATGCGTTTATTCCACGTTCTATATAGCTCTTGTCAATCGGTTTAACTAAGGTGCTATAAAAGTTATCGTAGGTCTTATAAAGCATATAGTTAAACCAAACGTAAACAATCATTTAAGAGTGCTCCAAGCAGCTTTTGAAGCGTTTAACCAAAAAGGCAATACAACTACATTCTTGTTCAACTCTGGAA